ACATAATAATAGTAAAAATAATAGAAGTTCATAAAAGTTTTCGTGAATTATTGAAACAGCAAGACTCTCAAAAGGAATCAATAACAGGGTTACAAACTGGTTCTCAAAAATCAATTCAAAAGGATGATGATGACAAAGAAACAACTTTGCAAAGACATCAAAGAACATCCTCAAAAAGAGCTAGAGGTTCTAGTAGTAACTTTAGTAATAATAGGTAATATATTTTTTTAATGTGGTTTTGAATAGATGAAAAAAGCAATTAATAAATCATAAATATACATGTTTATATGTGTGTATATATGTAAACTTAAATACACAAAACAGAATGAAAGGCCGTCTTGCATTGGATGATGCATTGAAACAAGTAGAAGATTATGATATGAATCTTGATAAGGCTTTTGAAGGATGGTCAAAAGCTCGTGTTAAAGCTTTTAATGCTATTAAAACCAATCCAAATACATATTATTATCGATTTAATGCACCTGGTGAAGAACAAAGACTAGGTGCATGGACTGAGGTTAAATTCATGATAATAATATAATAAAGATCAATTTTTAAAAAAATATATTTATATAATTTATATAGGAAGAGGAACAAGTATTTTTTAACAGATTGGAGGAAGTTGGTTCTGAAGGTCAATGGGGAATATTTTCAATAGCGATTCCTGGTCGTGTTGGTTATCAAGTAAGTTTATAAAACCTTTTATCAATAGAAAAATATTTATTTATTTATTTATTTAAACTGTTATTATTAATTATTATTATTATTATTAATATTTATTAGTGTTCCAACTTTTATCGATTGTTAATAGAAACTGGGAGAATTAAAGATCCAAATTATGTAATTGATAGAAATGGTAAAGCACATTATTTGTTTAGTACTAGGAATAAGCAAACAGGCGAGACGCAAAAAACAATCAGAACTCATTCCAAATATGGAAATAGTGGTGGATGTAAAACTGTTAGAGGAAATCATTCTGATGCTCAGGATAGTCCAAACAGTAGACATGAAAAAACGTTTGTTACAATCAAACCTAAATCATCACATAAAAAACGTAGAAAAAATCCTTTGAACAGTGATGAAGAGGAGGAAGAAGATTGTGATAATGATGATTCTGGTAGTTATGTTTTGAAATCATGGAGTAGTAAAAAAAGAGCAAGATCGTACCAAGTAAATGCAAGAGTTGATTTAGAAGTTGTTGAACAAGACGATGAAAATCCATTGCCAGGTTTTATTGATCCTATTACGTTAGAAGAAGTTAAACGTCCAGCAATCTCTCCTTATGGACATGTAATGGGGTAGGAAGATCATCTTTAATCAATTTTATGTGTATATTGTGATTTATTTATTTATTAAAATTAATTAAAAACATTGTTTGTGTTGCTAGTTATGATAACTGGGTAAAATGTCTCTCTACAGGCCCAAATAAAAACATTTGTCCCTTGACCAAAAAACCTCTAAAAAGACGTGAACTTGTTATATTGACCAGCGACAATCTTAATCAATACAGGTTGGTTAATCCATTTGTAGATTTTTAATTGAATCCAGAATTTTATGTTAAACTTAAAATTCCTCTCCTCTCTTCTTTAGTTCCCAAATCGTCAATCTTAAATAATCTTGCAATATTATAATATCTAATATACGTGATGGATAACAAGTAGTTATTATTTGAAGTAAATAAATAAGTTCTATTGAAACAATGTTTGATGTTTATGATCTAATTATTACTGATGATGATAATAGAGTTGTTGATTTTTTTACCTTAAAAAATAAAACAAGAATATATGATAATCTTGATTATTTTTCTAAACAAATAACTTTCATCTATTTTTTTCTATGAATCTTGATAAGATGGTCAAAAGCTCGCGTTAATGCTTTTAACACTATTAAAACCAGTCTAAATACATATTATTATCAATTCAATGCACCCAGTGAAGAACAAAACTAGGTGCGGTTAAATTCATAATAATATAATAAAGATCGATCATAACGTTATTTGATTTTTTAAAAAAATATTTATGTCATTTATGTAGGAAGAAGAACAAGTATTTTTAACAGACTGGAAAAAGGTGGTTCTGAAGATTTATGGGAATCTTTTCAATAGCAATTCCTGGCCGTGTTGGTTATCAAGCAAGTTTATAAAACCTTTTATCAATAGAAAATATTTATTAATTATTATTATTTATAAACATTAAAATTGTTTTAATGGATTTATCCATCACGTACATATTATAATATTGTACATAATTTCAAAACATAACCATCGTTATCACATTCTTCTTCCTCTCTTCACCAGTGTTCAAAGTATTTTTTTATGTGATGATTTGAGTTTGATTGTAACAAGTGTTTTTTCAGTGTGATTTTTTCCATGTTTCTTGCATTTCGCCTGTTTTCTTATTCCTAGTACTAAACAAATAATGTGCCTGTAATCACATAATTTGGATCTTTAATTCATCCAGTTTCTATTAACAATTGATAAAAGTTAAAAACTAATAAATGTTAATATTAATAATAATAATAATAAATAAATATTTTATAATTCAGTAAATAGTACAAAAAAATTTCTTGTAAAATTTTAAATTTTATATGTTTGTATTTTAAATCTATACAATAGATAATAATAAAGGAAAAAACCGATACAATTATTTATAATAATATTGATTTATCATTTTATTATTTTCCAAACAAATAACTTTAACTTTCATCTATTTTTTTCCTTTTTACTATACAATTAATTTCTTCAAATATGATTTTTTATTGTCTCTTCATAGGATTATATATGTTAATAATGACTATAATAAATTAAATATGCCCACACATACATTACACACACATTAACTCATCTTAAGGCATTAATACTTTCAATAATCATTAGAAGAAAGAGCCTCAGATTTCCTGGCCAATATTTTGGATATTATAAGATAAAGAAATACCAATGTTATTATTATCCATTTTCTCCATTTATCAAATAAACTTCTTTGCACAACAATGTTATTATTATTGGTACTAGTATCGCTGCTACCATTACTACTACTATTATTAATCTTATTGTTGTTGTTGTTGCTATTCTTTTTATTATCATTTGATAGATTTTTATTATTTTCAATGTTTGATCCATCATTTTGGTTTATTTGTTGACGTTTTTGGATTTGGTTATTGTTTTGGGGTAACCTAGATGCTTCATTTATATAGCGAGTACCATTATTAGTACCAGACTTATTATTATCATTATCATTATTATTACTACTACTGCCACTAGAACTATTGTTATTCAGCGGATAAAGAATCTCAACTGGTACTGGTTCTGGGACACAAAGTTCAGGAAATATTTCTATGATTTTCAAATAAATAAACAAAAATTTTTTTAATTGCTTTTATTTAAAATAAAAAATCAACTTGCATATTTTTATAAATAATATTATAATTATAATTGTTATCATTACCTCTGAATTTTGGATCCTTCATATTAAATTGATGTGACCTTGAAGCAAATATTCTTTTATCAGTATCTGACGTTTTAATACTACCTGTTGTGGCTTCATCGCCAGTCTACAAAAGATATTTAAATTGATTAATATATTTATTATAGTAATAAATAAAAGGAAAATAACAATATTATTATTATTTGTATAACCATAAAGCTTAACAATCCATTTAA